GTTGCCTCTGCCACTGCGGCGGTTCAGGACCCAACACTCCCACGGGTGCTACGACAGCATGATGACCAGCTAGGGGAAGATGCCCCGCCGCTTGGTCCCTCTGAAAATCAGCGTCCTGGACAGATCTCGAAAGGATGGAAAGTCTGTCCAGATCCGCAAAAGATGAAGGCCGTGGTGCAAAAACCAGACGGGAGCGTTCCTCAGGCTTCAACCCCTGAAGCACAATGTCAATGAGCTCAAGCTCACTGATCCCCAAACGCAAGACCCTTTCCACCGTGCGAATGTCCCCCACGTACTGGCTGAGAGACTCGGCTGGCTGCTGAGGACGAAAAACTCTCTCAACTTTCAGCTTCTCCATGACCCGACGGGGCATGAAAAGCTCCAAAACTTCTTTATGAAAAACATCAAAGGTGACGCCTCTGCGCAAACAATCAAGCAATCTGTCCCCCAACGGTTTCAGACAGTATGGAGCAATGAGTTCCATCAAAGTTGCGTCTGACATGCCAGGGTATTCACGCATGCGCAAAACACTCTCCAGAAAAAAACAAAGACCATTCACATCTAACCCGTCCACCGGCCGGAAACCACTCAGGACAGAGGCAAGGGGATGGGGAAGTTTGCCAAAGGAGTTAGAGATGGAAGGGGAACTATGAACTTGAGAAGGAAAGGGAGATGGGGACTGGACATTCAGCGTAGCCGCAGCCAAGGTGGACGTGTGAGAGGGGGACGGTGTGACATTTGCATTTGACATTTGAACATTTGCAGGCAACTGGAGCAGTGCACTTGGCGTAGGCGGAGCCTGGGGGGTACCCACTGGAGCCACAACTTCAACAACAGACCTTGGCACTTCGTTTGAAATTTCCAAAGAACGGTTGTCTTCAAAAATTTCGACTTTCTCTTTGACAGACTTTCCTGCCTTAATACTCTCCAAAATTCCTTCCAGCTCAAGAATTCTGGCTTCCACCCAGCTCTTGTCCTCATCTTGGATTTCAGGTTGCCCTGAAACCAAGAGCAGACGCTTACGCCAGTGCGTCAGCTGTGTGATAGCCGAACTCTTAGCTGAGCCCATAGGCAAACTACTCCAACTATTAATTTCCCCACTTAGCTCTTCCATCCTCTCTTTACATGCCTCCAGTTCCTCATCCAAACTGAGCGACTCAACCCAAGCTTGAGGCATGCTAACAATTTGTCTGAACTGTGTACGCAAAGTGCGTACATCAGTTCCAGGAGTCTCCCCCCGGGACCGCACCTCGTACACCAGCTCCGGCTTCCTCAAATATTCCGGCACAATTGACGCCATACCGAGTCTCAACCAGCACTTGACTCAAAATAACAGCCAACAAAATTTTTTCACAAAACAAACACAGAAATTTAATTCCTAAGGCTTCTGGACGTTGATGCCTGCGCACCTGATGGGGCCCAAAAGAAGAACCTGCCCATTCATACCGCAAGTACCGCAAGAAAAAACAACAACAAATGACCCACGAACGTACACACACACAAACATACACCGATACATACACTAGACAACACCTAACACTTGTGTGATGGGGGGTACACACAAACCTTTTTTTTTTTTTTTTTTTTTTTTTTTTTTTTTTTTTTTTTGACACATGACCATGCTTTTGACACTCTTGCTCCCGAAGGATGCAAGTCATTACCACCGATTCCACCCGGTGCCTCGGCCAAAGGGCGAGCTCCTAATAAAAATGTGAAGATTTAACACTGGAGCCACAACTTCAACAACAGACCTCAGATCAGGTGGGCTTACCCGCTGAATTTAAGCATATTATTAAGCGGTGGAAAAGAAACTAACAAGGATTCCCTCAGTAGCTGCGAGCGAACCGGGATGAGCCCAGCACCGAATCCCGTCGGCTTTGTCGACAGGGAAATGTGGTGTTCGGGAGGGCCCGCTTAACCTGGAATTCGGAGGCCAGTCCAAGTCCATCTTGAATTCTAATTTGGGGCCCCTAAAGTTTCTATAGTTACCAGATGAAATGAATTTATTAAAAGAGTCATTATATATATATCATGTTGTAATTTGTTAATTTAAAGTTTTTTGAAAGGTAAAAGCTAGTAAGATTTATTTCTGAAATTTAGCCTATTTGAAAATGATTAATGAAATAATTGTAAGTTAGTAGGGTAAACGGGTATCAAAATTTTTAAAGTTTAATTGAGAGTATTTAATTCATGTATTATTGTTAATTATTGTTGTTGATGTTATTGTTGTGTTATTTTTTTTAAATGGTTAATTACAGCTCGTTTCTCTCAAATGGCGTGTTGTTCTTGAGCCTCCATCCATGGTTCTCATTTTATGTAAAGTTTTGTGAGCCGCTCCTCGGGCCTGCGCATGGATCACGCTTCCTTTTCGTTAGTCTGGGTGCAGGCGCGAGGGCATGGTTCATCTGGTAGCAGAGCGTGGTTAGTGGGTTGCGTCCTGGGTGCCTTGTCGTGAAACTTGGTTTCACGACTCGGATACTTAGAGATGCGATCACTGTCCGCGTTCTGTTTTTTGTTTTGTTTTGAAGAGCCGTGGATGGATTGGTTTCTTGGAAATGTTCTGGCCTGGCAGTTTTGGAAAAAGGTCTTGTTGTTGTTGTGGTGGGGCGTAAACACATTTTTATTAGGAGCTCGCCCTTTGGCCGAGGCACCGGGTGGAATCGGTGGTAATGACTTGCATCCTTCGGGAGCAAGAGTGTCAAAAGCATGGTCATGTGTCAAAAAAAAAAAAAAAAAAAAAAAAAAAAAAAAAAAAAAAAAGGTTTGTGTGTACCCCCCATCACACAAGTGTTAGGTGTTGTCTAGTGTATGTATCGGTGTATGTTTGTGTGTGTGTACGTTCGTGGGTCATTTGTTGTTGTTTTTTCTTGCGGTACTTGCGGTATGAATGGGCAGGTTCTTCTTTTGGGCCCCATCAGGTGCGCAGGCATCAACGTCCAGAAGCCTTAGGAATTAAATTTCTGTGTTTGTTTTGTGAAAAAATTTTGTTGGCTGTTATTTTGAGTCAAGTGCTGGTTGAGACTCGGTATGGCGTCAATTGTGCCGGAATATTTGAGGAAGCCGGAGCTGGTGTACGAGGTGCGGTCCCGGGGGGAGACTCCTGGAACTGATGTACGCACTTTGCGTACACAGTTCAGACAAATTGTTAGCATGCCTCAAGCTTGGGTTGAGTCGCTCAGTTTGGATGAGGAACTGGAGGCATGTAAAGAGAGGATGGAAGAGCTAAGTGGGGAAATTAATAGTTGGAGTAGTTTGCCTATGGGCTCAGCTAAGAGTTCGGCTATCACACAGCTGACGCACTGGCGTAAGCGTCTGCTCTTGGTTTCAGGGCAACCTGAAATCCAAGATGAGGACAAGAGCTGGGTGGAAGCCAGAATTCTTGAGCTGGAAGGAATTTTGGAGAGTATTAAGGCAGGAAAGTCTGTCAAAGAGAAAGTCGAAATTTTTGAAGACAACCGTTCTTTGGAAATTTCAAACGAAGTGCCAAGGTCTGTTGTTGAAGTTGTGGCTCCAGTGGGTACCCCCCAGGCTCCGCCTACGCCAAGTGCACTGCTCCAGTTGCCTGCAAATGTTCAAATGTCAAATGCAAATGTCACACCGTCCCCCTCTCACACGTCCACCTTGGCTGCGGCTACGCTGAATGTCCAGTCCCCATCTCCCTTTCCTTCTCAAGTTCATAGTTCCCCTTCCATCTCTAACTCCTTTGGCAAACTTCCCCATCCCCTTGCCTCTGTCCTGAGTGGTTTCCGGCCGGTGGACGGGTTAGATGTGAATGGTCTTTGTTTTTTTCTGGAGAGTGTTTTGCGCATGCGTGAATACCCTGGCATGTCAGACGCAACTTTGATGGAACTCATTGCTCCATACTGTCTGAAACCGTTGGGGGACAGATTGCTTGATTGTTTGCGCAGAGGCGTCACCTTTGATGTTTTTCATAAAGAAGTTTTGGAGCTTTTCATGCCCCGTCGGGTCATGGAGAAGCTGAAAGTTGAGAGAGTTTTTCGTCCTCAGCAGCCAGCCGAGTCTCTCAGCCAGTACGTGGGGGACATTCGCACGGTGGAAAGGGTCTTGCGTTTGGGGATCAGTGAGCTTGAGCTCATTGACATTGTGCTTCAGGGGTTGAAGCCTGAGGAACGCTCCCGTCTGGTTTTTGCACCACGGCCTTCATCTTTTGCGGATCTGGACAGACTTTCCATCCTTTCGAGATCTGTCCAGGACGCTGATTTTCAGAGGGACCAAGCGGCGGGGCATCTTCCCCTAGCTGGTCATCATGCTGTCGTAGCACCCGTGGGAGTGTTGGGTCCTGAACCGCCGCAGTGGCAGAGGCAACCTGTTGTTTGTTTTGGTTGTGGGCAACCAGGTCACATTCGGCGGCATTGCCGTCAAGGTGGAAATTTTGGACGTGGTCCAAAAAACTAGTTTGCTCACAGGAGGAAAAATTGCCCAATCCTTCCTGTGAGGTTGTTGGTGATAATGTAAAGGGCAATAATTTGAATGTTTTTTCAAGTAAAGTTTTGTGAGCCGCTCCTCGGGCCTGCGCATGGATCACGCTTCCATTTCGTTAGTCTGGGTGCAGGCACGAGGGCATGGTTCAACTGTAACGGAATAAAGTAAAGTACCACAAGAATTTTTTACATTTATTTTCTGTAAGCTACAGGAAGTTTTGCTTCCACATATTTTTTTGCTAAATTTTCCAGAATATCAGTTTTTTGCGCCCCCCTAAGGCCTGCGCCCCAATGCACCGCATTGGTTTCATTGGCGTTAGTTACGCCACTGAATGGCATAAAGATAAGGCACTACAATAGTTTTTAAGCAAACACTATGGAGAAATCGCACTGAAGAGGGATTTTTCATCAATTATACCTCATAATGGTTAAATAAAACTTGCTGTACCTAGCTGAACCTTTTAATGTAAAAGTGCAACAGATTAACGGGCACAATGTGGACAAACACGTGGGTATGGGTGTATCAAACAGAGCAAAGATATTAAAATTTTATCTTACCTCAACATCATCATCCTCTCCTGCCATGTACTGGTCTGGATCCTGTTGGATAAAAATCATGTTTACATTTAAATAAGTAAAATAAAGAATTTTCTAAAATGTGTTTACAAAATCTATACTTAAGGTAAATAAAAATGAAAATAACTTATTTTATTATTAAAGTTTCTCTTCAAGATTGTCTACTTGAAATTAACTAAATGGGAATCAACAATCCCAATCTCAATGGGAATCAAACCATAGCAAAATATGCTTTTTTACTGAGGAATAGCCAACCATTTCTCATAGAAACTTTCTATGGGACCTTCAACAATTTAGGTTATCGAGAATATTGTACATTGGGTTAAAAGTTAAAACAATTAACATGTATGGCATAATACCAGAATAACAATGACAACAATGAATAACAGTAACAATGTTGAACCAATGAGCCTGTATATCACACTGAGATATACAGGGTGTCCCATAAGTATACAGCCAAATTCTGAGAAATGGATTGGTCAAAATGAAAAGAAAATCGAGATAAATTGTTCCCAAAATTGTTTTGTTAACCAGACATCCACTATTTTATATTTTTGTATAACCATTTTATCTTTGGATAGTTCCAACTAGTGAAGTGTCAATATCAAAAATATACCAATAGGCCTACCTGAAAAATCAATTTTTGTTACCAATACATTTTTTTTTTACATTACTAAATTTCATCGTTATACTACACCAACCCCTGTCTTTATCTCCTATACAAAGTAATTTTCGGGTAATTTAGTGTTTTTCAAGTAAAATAAAAATGAATGCAGCAACTAAAAATTCTTGATAGCCAATTAAAACTTAAACCCTTTTTAAACACTACTGCTTATACCACTTATACTTTTTTACCATATGTAAGGTAAATTTAGACCTAAGTAGGTCATGGCGAGCTTTTTGCGATTGCAGTATGCATCTGCAAGGATGTTGCGAGGATTAAAAAATTCACGCTTTTGCTAAACTTTCCGTGGAGAAAATTTGTTGTGTGTGTGTCATAGAGTAAAAAAAAAACAAACCTGCTCAGTATCAGATAATGGCTCCTCTTTGATAATAAGTTCGGATGTGAACTGTTCAGAGTTCAGGATGGTAGATTGTTCATCTTCAACTCTCTTCTGAGCATTTTCCACCTAAAAACCAATTATAAGAACTGTGTTATTGTACATCTCCATTGTAAAATTAAATTTTAAATCCGTTGCCTTCAAGATATTATTCAAGATATTGTGTTTTTACTACTATAAACATATCCAGTTAGGATCTTGTTTTTACATCAAATTAAAAGCTTTTAGTATCACATATTATTGATAGTTTACATGCTTCAATTAAGTTGATAAAACACTAGAGGACTACCAGCTACACTGAAAATTCAAATAAATTTAGTCTTCTCATAGAATAAGTATGGAATTATGATAAAGGCATTAGGTACTTGAGTAATTAACAAATAGGCTAACACATGGGTATTGGGTTAAAATCCTCAACACTAAATTTTGAGCTTTTGGTATAAAATAGAGATGGACCTAAATTATAAATCAGCGGAATATAAATGTGCAATTCCAGTCTGTACAAACCAATCCAATCGGGTAAGAGTTTTTAGTCCCTTGAAAATTGCAACAATCTATGCTGGACAACTTAATAAAAACACCAGTATGTTATGTTCAAAGGCTCGTCCAAACCAAAGCGAGACAGCGGCAGGAGCGGGAAGGGGGTGGGTGCCCAGCGGTAGCCAGCGGCAGAGGTACGTGGCAGGAATGGGGCAGCCCACACCGAAGCAGCAGGCAGCGGAAAGTCCCCTCAGTTCATTTTCAGCTTAGTTTAGTGAATGTTTATATTATTGTTTTTTATGACTTAAGTTATGAATCTGAGGCATCAAGAAAAAGAAGCTTTAGGAAATTCTAGCAACAGCTGAGGATGAAGATGAAGGTGGAAGAGAGCGTTCCATTAAGGTTCAAAATTTATCAAACTAGAAATTTATTTGTTGAGTCATAACCCTTATGCTGAATCTAAGAAAAGACAAAGGCGGTTCTATATTTGTTTTATAATGACCAACACATGTTTTGATGAAATCCTAGATTTAATGACAGAGGTCATACTAAAACAGCATATTAGCTGTAGTCCTGCCAACATTGCGAGCGGAAAAATCCAACATGTTACGAACCGGAAGGAAGATCGAACAACGCAGCGGGATAACGGTAGCAGTACCACTTTTGTGTGGGTGATCACATTTATTACCATGTGCTTTAAAATCCTGCACGGGAATCTGTCCTCCTCCCCCCGATGCCCCGCTCCGGTTTGGACGAGCCTTAAAGGATGTGCAGCTTGAGAGTCATGTTTAGGAATATCATGCTTGGGCTTTTGAAAGTTGGCCAAGCCGACTGAGGAGTTGGCTCTCCAGCCAGAAGATGGCACTGTTGAATGAGGGAATGAACCCTGCTTGGTCTCATGTATACCGGTAATTCATGAAGGATTCACCTGACTGATAGAGCTAGGAGGGAGAGGCCGACAAAAAATATTTAACGTACATGGAGGAAAAGAAAGTTTGACGGACCATGGCCTACTCTTAGTGAGTATAGCACCTCATAGCAGACATTTCGCTACTTCTTACTTGAAATCCTAACCGTGTGTAATTCTCTATCAAAACATATTTTTGTTCATTCGATTTTTGTGTTCATGATGAAGGAAAACGTAAAAAATATGAAAAAATAAATCATTGATTATGGAGTTCAAAGGGTTGAATTAGGTAATTTTTAGAGTTATTAGATACCTGTTCCGGTGGATTTTTGTTGGCATTAGGTTTTCTGGCAACCCAGACAGTTTTTGTGTACAGCTGAGATAATTCTGGTTTACTGGGCTTCTTGCTTCCAAGATACCTTCGCTTGGCTGTAAGTTTTCTGCCATCGGGATTGTGGATGTTGAAATATCCTCTGTATTTTACTCTATGCAGAGACCTCACATTGAACCTGAAAACAAAACACAGGCAAAAAATATATCAGTGATTAACATGTAAACAAATAAACTTAAATGATAGGCTACAAACTTATACAGGGTGCAGCAAAAAACCGATCTATTGGCTCGTTCAAAGCCTACACATTGCAATTGTCTGTAGTCATAGAACAGCTGGTCACCTATGTAACCCGCATGATGATGAGTTGTATTAAAAAGTACTGATTCAGTCATTAAAACTCAGCGGCAGTTCCACACATTCTTCTAATTAGGTCAACATGGAGAGATTCCGTCGCCTAGCACAATCATGCGGTAGGTAACTAACTTTAGAACAACGGCTTCTGCGTTCAAAAAGAAGCTAACAGGCCGTCCAAAGTCAGATCAGACGAATGACAACTCACATTATAGAGTTCTAGCTTTTGTGGAAAACAGTCCTCATAGGCCCGCCTGTAAACAAGCAGCTGCTTTGAACACGTCTGACCACTCCGAGAGCAATACCCTACACAAATGTTTTCACAAAAGTACCCCCGCCGACCCCCTCACCTAGACCCAACCAGATCTGGTCGCGGGCACAGAAACTTTGTCCGAACTGTAGAATAAACCAGTTTGTTATTCCTAACACCCCTGTTAGTTGCAACGTTGTATTTTAAACTAGTTAACTTAAGTTTAAATCTACCAACTGTCCTTCTAGGCTGCTTAAGACCCCGACAGTAAATTTGGTAGAGGTTGTGCGGAACGAGGTGAAGCTTGGAGGGGAATAGTGGTGTGGCGGGGGAAGTGTCGCTATGCGAGGCGACGATCGGCTTGTCTCCTACCCCCACCATGGATTTCCCCGCTTTAGACCGTTCCCGCCGAAAATCTCAGGCTTCACCTCGTTCCGCACGACCTCTAAACATATGGAACATAAATAAACAAAGAATGTAAACAAAAAATAAAGATCATATCGAGCGAGAAAATACAGCGTACATAAGTTAGTTACATCCTTACTTGGTTGTGAGTGGTGAAGTTCTTCTTGCAGGTAAGTTTCGTCGAGGTATGGCTAGCTCCTTTAAATACCTCCTTCCAGTTATATCTATAAACAGCGTAAAATATTAATAAAATCATAATTACTTTTACACTAAGGAATGCTAAATAGACTAACTTAATTAAAATCACTATCATCATTAAAATTACTGTTCTTAAAGGTTTATAGGTTGACTCGAGAAATGAATTATTGTACAGATAGTTTACTTAAATAACTTAACGAGGTGGTCTGAGTTGAAGAAGAATGACAGAAAGCAAAAATATCTGACAGATGATTCAATAATGTCCTCCAAGAACAAACCAGCCCACGCGGAGACATAAAAAGTGCACTGCATCTTCTGCACTTTGCCGATCACAAACCGACGCAAACAACGAAACGTGAGTTTCTGTTCATCCAGCAAACACATACCTATCACCTCAGGTGCACGTACACTTTCACTGTTGTGCTACACAGCTTTCAAAGTTTTTCAAGTTATCAAATAGGCCTAGTCTAGGGTACAGTTTCTTAACTGGACTAGGCCTACGCTAATATCGATTGAGGGTACAGTTTCTTAACTGGGCTATGCTAAATACTGATTAAAACTAAAGATTCGATTAAGTTAGTAAACCTTCATGCAATTTTTTTCACCACCAGCAAGTTTGGTTGGTTAGGTTAGGTTATGATAGTTTTATTTTATAATACTGTAGATATATTTTAAAATATCAATTGTTAATCAATATTTTCAATTCGATAGTTTCAATCAATATTAGCATATAGCCCAGTTAAGAAACTGTACCCTCGATTGAAACTATCGATTCGATTAGTAAACCTTCATGCGATTTTTTCACCATCAGCAAGTTTGGTTGGTTAGGTTAGGTAATGATAGTTTAATTTTATAATAGATTATTTTTAAATATCGATTATTAATAAATATTTTCAATTTGATAGTTTCAATCAATATTAGGGTAGCGTAGCCCAGTTAAGAAACTGTACCCCTAGTCTAGGCCGATTATGAATTAGCCTAGGCAAGATATGAAAGTCTACCATGAATTAATTCTAAAACCATCTGAGATTTTTTTTTATTGACTTAACCCAGTCATTAGGCTAAGCCTAGACTAGGACTTAATTAAGTTCAGAGAACACGAGATGTTTAGCTCAGCTAGGCATAACTTTTTGTTAGCCAAGAACAAAACACTTGTAAAAATAACGAGTTAGACCTAGGCCTTACATTACTGTAGGCTTACCTTGGTTGTAGTAAAAATCTTCTCTTGCAAAATGCAAAGAACAGACATACACGGCAACTCCATCGATAGCTGATGCAGCTTCTCTCCCGATATTGAGAGAATCAATCCATAATTGGCGCCTATCATAAATACATCTATCACCATTCTTTTTGACAACCACAATATTTCTTTTGCCTCTACTAGGAAATTTATGAAACCCAAGATGAGGTTTATTAGCAGCAGCTGTTGAAAAACATCCGTAAACAAAGCAACTTCTATGTCTCGATGGCAAATATTCTGAACTGTTAACATCAGCCATATTAATAAAACTTTACCTATAATAAACAAATATCCTGCAAATAAATTATAGTTTACAAAACAATGATAAATGTGTGATGGTTAATAATAAGCTTATAGAGAAAAAATAAATATTTATAACATTGTCTTATCCCCCTTATACAGTGAACAAATTACATGTATATGACAATCAATATGCATCAACGCCATATATAACTGAAACAGAAGGACATTAACACAGTTTTTAAAATGGCGTTGGCAACGACCATCCAAACCCCTTTAAAGTTGAATTCCAAAGATCTTTTCAAAGCCCTTTAACACAAACATTTCTTATATCTCAAAATAGTATACAAACATTCTATAATAATTATAAGTTATGTATATGATCTCTGCATTAGAGAGTGTGCTTGTTTGTTGATTAAAACATGACAATTTCCCATTGACTGTAAAGTTATAGGGTGTCATCATATAGTTAAAAAATTAAAACAAAACTCCTTATCACAAATAAATAATTATAGTATTATATTTTTATTTATTATATTGATACTTTTGATACTTGAAATATTCATCTTTGCAGTCCGATATATTGCGTCATACGGGACGGTGGCGTCGTCCTGCAATCCAGCTACGAGGAGGTCACGAATTGTGGATATTTATAGGCATGCACTGTGGATGCGATACTCCCTGGTGTGGATTAACGTTCGTACTTGTGAGTACTACGAATATCCGCAGTACTATCCTGATAATTAGACCAATGGGATATTAATCAGTTGTGTCTAAGAAATATGTCCACCTTATAGTCACTAACACGAATACTACAAAAAACCTCTTTTCTAGTATTCGTGATCACTTACAAGACTACAAGATCACGCCAATCATCCTAAACTCATCTCCATTCATTCTTGGCTTAAAGTCCCTACTTTGTATGGTCACCAGTTCAATGAAAATAGAGTATTTAAAAACGTAAAGTATTAAAACAACGTACATTATTTACAACATTTACAGAGTTACACCATAGATAAAACATACTCCTCAAGGTTACACTTTAAAACATGGACGTTTAACGGATTGGCAAAGTAGATAGACGCACTCATCTCATGAGGGACTCATCCTCAAGTTATCTTTCAATGAGTCCTACAGCTAGTGGCCTATAAATTAATATTTCTTTCAGTGCCTTTTCTTGCCTTCTGTACAGTATACTGTGAGTACTCTAGGTCCTTGAAGATTGTCCGGAAGTGATCCAAACCCACCCAGCTGATCTACCTATAATAAAATCCTCAAAGTCCACCTTTTGTAAAGATCAGCACATCTCTTCAGCCGCTGATGAGTGCCCCCACAATGGTTTTGGAATAAAGCGTGTACGGTGATGATAAAAAAGCTTTGGAAATTTCAGGCCTAATTAATTAGGTGCCAGCATATAACATTTTTGAGAGAATAACAATGAATACGTTCCTACAGATTGCTTTTTTTATCATCCTCATACAGATCAGTCAATTAAAGACATTAGCAGTAAGTTGTGCGTCTGGTATGAGCATAGACGATTACACAATAGTCATAGCAATTTCTATTATTGAAAATAAGCTTAAGACAACGTCCGTTATAAGTTACGAAATTAGTGGTGATTACAAAGTCACACAAATGAGAAACAGGTTCCCAGGCTATCGAACATTTAAGGTAGGTAGGGGTTCCTGCTCGCTTGTGGGACAAAATATATTTGCCTGAATTCTGGCCTACTGGGGGCATATATAAATGCCTTCAGGTTTGCTAAAAAAGCAACAAGCACTGCTCAGTGTCGGGAAAATTATTTAGAAACTCCCCCCAACTCTGTAAATTTAACGTAGAGTCTGAAGTGACTGATGATAATTCTGACACACAACTCTCATCGCATAACAAAGCGATTGGGAACTATTGGAACATTGACAATTTTGCCTCTGAACTGTTTAAGCTGGGTTTTCCTAGACGCGGAGTCGGTCAGCGGAGAGCGGACAACGGAGAGCGGACTCAGCTGGTCTTAGGCAATTTAATGTTACTGTTTTCCTAGCAGCGGAGCGGAATGCCATGTTAATTTCAATTCCGCTCTCCGTTGTCCGCTCTCCGCTGGCCGACTCCGCGTCTAGGAAAACCCAGCTTTAAATGTACATTGTTTCAATATCATATGTTTTACTTTTTATATTAAGCTGTGTTCATGTTTATGTTTGTTCATGTTTATGTTTCAACGTAACTTTCCGCAGTGTGAGGGCAACGGTTTGTAGGTACTTATGCAAACCTATCCCTGTCTCTGAGCACGGACGGTATGGTTATCTTGAGTGTGGGGGGTTCTTCCCGGAACCTCAATTGAGTCAAGGGTGTCGCCACCTCTGGTGGTTAGGTTCATCCGGGTGGGTCCCACTTCTATACCTGCCTCCTTTTGGGAAACCCTGATGGCCTGGCAGTGATGTTGGGTCTGACGGGCAAACGAAGTAGATCGGGTGCTGGGTCCGAGCCCGCCAGGGGTATCTGGGGATCTATCGCTCTGGATATCTCTGGTTCCCAGCAATGGGTCAGGCCTCGATCGGGCAGCGGTGTAAATGGGAGGTTGGGGTTCCCCCCGTCAGCGTGCTGATGGTCCCCTTCCTCCTGGCTATTGATGGCGGGTTCTGCCTGTCAGGGATTAGATAGGTCCCGAGTGTTGCTTGCACTAAATGCGTCGGGGCGCTCTACTATGGACCTCTAGGTTCCGACCTAGTGGAACCCAGGTGGAGTGACGCTTAAACAAGCAGCCGGAATCCCTGGTTAGGATTGAGGGGCAACCCTCTTTCCGAAGGGTCTGCTTCGGCAGCCGGCGAGCCTGATGACCTTAAGTCATCCGCCCATGATGTGCTAAAGGTTGATGCGTAAGCTTCGGCCTACATCATGGGGCCCGGGTATGTCCTGAAGGATAGGTACCGGGTAAGCAGTCAGGGGGCTTCGGCTCTCATGACAACAAATGTAAATGTAATGTAATGTTTATGTTTGTGTGATCAAAATAAAAGTGTGAATTCCTTTCTTTAATATAATTTGTTTCTCATTAATTTAAAAGTTTATTCTTATAAGTAATCGCGAGAAAAATGCCTTGGACAAGTACGTATCAATAGGTATGGGCTATTCTATTCTACAAACAAGGTATTTTTTAAAATTACTTTTAAAGAAGCTATATAATATTTTTCTTAATTGTTTTGCCATTGCAACTGTTGACTTTTTTCTTGGAACAAGTATAAAATTGGTTAGACATTATGGCAAATTCAAATGAAAAGATATGTATAGAGAAACTTTTGAATGCAAGTAATTGGACTAAATGGAAGATGCTTATCCAGTTGTTATTAGGACAACAAGGCTTGTTGAGTTTCATAATGGGAATGGGATCTGAAGTAAGACCTATTACTAACATCTCTGGATCTGAGCAAAATGCTATTGCAGATTGGGACAGAAAAGATGCTTCTGCTATGTTATACCTTATGTCATCTCTAGGCGATGAACCATCTACACTGGTTTTGACTTGCTCGACTTCTAAAGAAGTTTGGGATTGTTTAATATCTGTGTATGAACAGTCTAGTGAACAAAGGCTAGATCGTTTGCTAGAAGAGTTTTTTAGGTGGGATCGGGATCCTAATGAGGACCCATGTTGCAAAGCTTCAAAAACATTTTGCCGAATTAAATGATGCACTTGAGAAACAAAAGGAATCAAAGCTTAGTGATAGAGTTTTAATTCCAAGAATTTTATCTACTTTGGGGCCAAGCTTTCGTGAATTCAGAAATGTATGGGAAGCTATGCCATCTAAGGATAGAACAATTAAAACACTAGTTGAAAAGCTTCGCACTATAGAGCAGCGTGATAACGTGGAGTTACTTAAAACTGCTTTATATGTTTCAAAACCCATGGATACAAGGGTTAAAACAGAAAAACAAGGGCAGAGTAATCAGAATCAAGAGCAGGTAGGCCTAACTAAGATATTTTGTTTTAAGTGTAAACAAAAAGGGCATAAGGTTCCTGATTGTCCACTTAAAAAGAAGTCTACATCTGATAAGAAGGATGTGTCTGCAAAACATAGTTTTATGAGCGGGAATGAGTTAACTTTTGCAAATCGGGACGTTTGGATTGCGGATTGTGGTGCTACTCATCATGTAACGTGGTGTAAAGATTATTTTACAGAGTATTCACAATTTTCAGAACCACAACTTATGTCTGGCTTCAGTGATAATGCTTCTGATAAAAAGTGTTATGCCGAGGGATCTGGGATCATTGTTATTGAAACTAAAGTTGGTAAGGAGCTAATTCAAACGACTGTAGAAAACGTTTTGTATGTACCTTAATTCTAGAGCTCATCTGTTGTCAGTCAGCAAGGCAGCGAAGAAGAACCATGTGTTTTCTGCTGACAATCTTGGATGTAAATTTACCCTAAATGGTATTGTTACATTGACTGGACGTTTGCATGGGGATTTATATTATCTTAACATGCGTGCTATTTGTCCTATACAACCCACTGTACAACTTGCATGTAAGAAAGATTCTTTACAGCTATGGCACGAATGGCTAGGTCATCAGAATCAACGCCATGTTAAACAAGTTTTGAAGATAAATGGAATTAATGTGACTGGAGACATGGGTCTGTGTAATGGATGTGTTCTTGGTAAATCTCATCGTGGTCCATTTCATTCTCGTCCAACTTGTCCTGAGGTGGTTGGTGAACTGATCAGTACAGATGTCTGCGGACCTATGGAGGTCACTTCTCTTGGAGGTAACCGCTATTTTGTATTGTTTAAAGACTACTACAGTAAGTATCGCCAAGTATTTTTCATAAAGAATAAAAGTGAAGTAGCTGATCGTATGCGCATCTTTCTTGCAGAAGCAAAACAAGGTGGAAAGATCATAAAAGAAATGTTGTTTGATAACGGGTCTGAATTCCTATCAAAGGAAACTACGAGAATCATTCAGGAGTATGGTATTAAGATATGTACAACTTCTCCCTACTGCCCTGAACAGAATGGTTCTGTTGAGAGGGACAATCGAACGATTGTGGAGTCTGCTCGCTCTATGCTTCAGAGGAAAGTCTTGCCGAAGTTTCTTTGGGGTGAGGCTTGTAATACTGCAGTTTACCTCCTTAATCTTACAGGACCAAGTCCTGTAGATGGCAAATCACCACTGCAATTGTGGTCGGGTAAGAGTGTTCCAGGTCTGCAACAC